GCCAGGAAGCAATTCTTCCCAGATTGTACATACGCTTCCCCAGGGCAAGATTTTCTGATCCAAAGCCAGTTTCCACAATCAGACGATGCCACTGCCAAGGTGAAGTACAGCAAAAGGGAGAAGATACCATGATGAGGATAATGACATTGATCACCAGAAGGATGCATCTCACATGATGAAGTCCCAACGGAAAGGTAAAGAGGATAACTTCCACTAACAAAAGAATGGGACACAGCCTGACATCTAAGGCCTCCCAGCCAGAATCCAACACCCTGCAGACCTCCATTCGGGTTTATTGGGATTTTTTTTTCTCAATCCATTTAGATCTCCCCGTTTCAAGCTCTAAAGCCTCCAGAAAAGTCCAGAGCATTTGACACTTCTAGAATGCCAGAATTCCCCTCCCCTCTTCACAACATATGGAACATGGCAGTGACATAGGGACCAGTGGAAGGAACCATACAGTGCATTGGAGGACCAATCACCCAACACACCCAGAAGTGTGTTGAAGTGAATATTCTGGAGGCCTTAGCTTTTGAGCACCGGGAAGTTTGGACTTGACGCCCAAGAAAGTAGTAAATGGTCAGTGGCTTCTACTGAAGAACGCCACAGAGTTGCTTAAGTTGCCCCCCTTATCCATCCTTGTCCTTCAAGATCAGTGTTGTACATCCCATGAACAGCCCGTAAACCAATCTCACATTTTACCATGCAAGGAGAATGATATTTCTTCCAACAGAGCAGCCATCCACAATGGGAGTCAATACAGAAGACCTTGGGATGGATATTCTCTGCATGTGGCAGCTGTTCAGTTTCTGTGGATCTCCCTGGAGGGCATGAAAGATTATGGGGTGCTGGTGGTAAAGGATAACCACGCAAATTATAGTTAGCCTCTAGAAACACTATACATACATTGATGCAATGTAAAAGTTAAAGGTTTTCTGCTCTTTCAACATGATTCTACATGCTGAGGAGAACCACTCAAGTGACCAAACCCAGAGGAAACTTTCGCATGAATGCAACATATAAGAAAAAAAAAATATAAAAATTGAGAGGTGGAAAATTAAAAAAAACAAAAAAAAACAAAAAAGGGATAGATAGATCACACACACAGACACACACTCACACACTCAATATACAAGACAGAATGGGTGTGTGGACACTACATCCTCTTTCATGTCTCCTTTATACATCTACAGACGAACATTCCCTGCCAAATATCTGCTGAATGGCAGCAAGCACATCCTGGTTGACTCAGGATCCGAGAGACACTCATTACTCTCCAGATAAAATGCCAAAAGGAACAGGTCAGCATGAACAACTGACCTCAAAACCAATGTATCCAGATGTAGAGAGCACCCCTCCCCCCAATGTAAAAACACTAAGGCTTGAACCGCTAAAATGAAAACACGCCATTTCTAGGACAGCTAAGAACATCGCAGTAAGCAGCTGCTTCGGCTGGCCTGAAGGATCCGTATGTCCCATCCAACGATCTCACACAGAATTTCCAGAGTATCTACAATCACAAACCCCTGACATCCTCAAAAAGCCCCGAAGATAAAAACTAAGGATGCAGAGCTCACATGTGATTTTCTAAAGTAGAATGAACATTCTTGACATGCGAGTCACCATCCACAGGGGAAGAGCGAGGGGACAAACTTCAGCAATTGTACCATTATACAGAGATAATATTTGTGTGCTTCACCTCAGAGAATGCCAAGAACACAATGTTATGTCTGTATGAATGTAACTTATATAGAGACACCCCTTGTGTACAGCTTTCATCTCAAGGATCACCAAGAACACAACACAATACAATGTATCCATTCTCTATACTGATGGATGATCAGGTGTGCTGTATGTTTCCCTCTGTTCTAGATCAGCCTTTCCCAACCTTTTAAACCCTTGATAATTCTCATGTCTCCGGGAACCCCTGCTAAAATCAATTGATTGGGATCTCTGGGAAAAATTCCCTAATACATTTTTAGTCAATGGGAAGAATCCCCCCCCCCCCCTCTACAGCAGTGGTCAGAATGCGCACCCCTGGGTGTCATGATGCTCGCTCCGACAAGTGGTATTGGCCCCGGCACTATGTAGGTATCATCAGATGGAGGTCAGTCAGCCACAACTCAAAAAAAAAACAAAAAAAAAAAAAAAACAGTGAATTAGAGAAGAGAATGGGTTCAAGTGGAACCCAGAGGGAAGTGGGCACTCTCACCCCATCAACTGCAGGCACACACCTGCACATACACATATGCCCCACAGCTGCACATATTTATTACAGGTACTTATATAGTGCCGTCAATTTTACACAGCGCTTTACATACATATATTATACATTCACATCAGTCCCTAAACCCTCAAGGGGCGTACAATCTAAGGTCCCTAACTCACATTCATACATACACATATTAGGGCCAATTCACCTACCAGCATGTCTTTGGAGTGTGGGAGGAAACCAGAGTACCCGGAGGAAACCCACGCAGGCACAGGGAGAACATGCAAACTCCAGGCAGGTGGTGCCATGGTTGGGATTTGAACCAACGACCCTAGTACTGCCAGGCGGAAGTGCTAGCCATTTAGCCCCTGTTCTGCCCGCATATACAAAGGGGCAGAAATCCTTTTAGGTTGTGACATCATTGACCTTTGCTTCGGACCGAACCTGGAAAGAAGCAGTCACTCCCACCCAATCAACTGTGGCTAAGGCATTCCCCCACAGCTGCAGGTACACAAAGGGGTGATTATTATACAGGATTTATATAGCACCAACAGTTTGCTCAGCACTTTACAATATAATGGGAGACAACACAGCAACAATACAGTTCAGTACAAGAGGGATAGGAGGGCCTGATCCTGGGAGCTTACAATCTAGGAGATTATGACAATATTGTTCACATGGCCATAGTAGGTCAACGAGGTCACAAGCATCCCCACCCATTTATGAACATGCAACAGATGGGCAAGGAATGCCCTGGATTTGAAGTTAATGGGTTTGGAAGGAAGAGGTCACTTCCACCAAAAATTTGGACCATTCTGTGCTCAACCTTACTAGCACCTCCAGAGGAAGCTTGGTGTTCCATGTAACCCTGATCAAAAATGGCTGTTCTAGATCAGATCCGAGCACGCCTGAGCTCATCCCTGCTCCAGAGTTTGATGGAGGTTCCTTGTGCTGTGGATGAAATCCATCTGATGGTGCCTGCATAATTGTGGGCCAACACCAGAGCCAGCATTATGACAACAATCATCATTTCAACTGTAGCTGGGCATTCTTCTACTGACCATCGATGTAAGGACCATTTTCCCATTGACCCCAATGAATTGGATTTAGTAAGGTTTTACAGAAACCTGAAAATTAATTTAAGGGTTCCTAAGGGGGGGGGGAAAGGTTGAAAAAGGCTGATCTAGACTGTCATCTTCTACAAGCTCCCTTACCCATCATATCTTGTGCATGCAGGACGTGACTAATATACTGTACATATGGGTCAATGGAAATGTCTCATGTATTCATATTGTCTGCAAATATAAACCCGTGTGTGTGTCACATCAGCCCACAACAGACAATCACACGACTTTACACGCCTATAGAAATGCCGTCCTCAGACTTCCCTCTTACTGGAAGAATCTAACAGCACACTGGAGTGGATTTACTGAAGGCAAATAGACTGTGCACTTTGTACGGGCAGCTGCGCACCTTTTCCCCAGAGCTTAGTGAATGTGGTGAAGCTCTGCCGATTTCCATCAACCAATCATCCGCAAGAAAAAAATATTTTTTCTTTTTCCTTGAAACAAATTGGGTATTCCTTACACAGTGAAGCTCCACCACATTTACTAAGCTTTGAGGAAAATGAGTGCAACTGGTCTTGCAAAGTGCACAGTCTACTTGCCTTTAGTAAACTGACTCCATGGGGTTTATTTACTAAACCTAGTTGACTCAGAATCTTGTCCACTTCTGCATAAAAACCAATCAGCTTCCAGGTTTTATTGCTGAAGCTTAACTGAACATGCTAAGGTTAAAAGCTGACTGGTTTTTATGCACAGGTGCCCAAGATTCTGAGTCAACCAGGTTTAGTAAATAAACCCCCATGTGTCCCAACATGACTTGTAGAATTGGGGAAAAAAAAAAATTATATATATTTTATTTATTTATTTTTTTATTCCCCCACATTTGTTTTTGTCCTATAAGGCATGCTATGACATGTAGTTTATATATTTTTTACATAAAATAGCAAAAGTATATTATATATTCTATATATATATATACACACACACACATACATATATATATATATATATATATATATATATATATATATATATATATATATATATATATATATATATATATACACATACACACACACACACACATATATATACACACCCCACACACACACCCCCACACATACATACACCCCCACACACACAAAAAATGTAATTTTACATAATCACTTTATATATAATAACTTTTTTTATGAATATTCATGTATTAATTTTTTTGGCAAGTCACAATATTGATATTTCATTTATGATGAAGTATTCTTAGTAATTTCAATTACTTTATGGAGCGCGACACAATTGCACTTTAATTTTTTGGTAAAATTTGACATACTTTTCCATTTTCCTTTTATGTCACAGGCATGCATGCTGTGACATGTAGTTTTTATATATACACATACATCTTAAGGTCACAGCATGCCTTGTAGAATAAATATATATATATATATATATATAAAAAACAAACACTACTTCTCGTACATATAACATGATCTACATGTCTGTAGATTTAGAATATTAACCATTAATCCGCATGACTGCCTGCTCACAAGAACTACATACCCCAGCATGCCCTGTAGGAATCTATAGCACACACAAGTCTGGAGCCCGTGTCTGTACTGCCTATGATAGAACAGCCATGTATGATCTATGATGACATACGGGGCTCCCAACTGCTATGGTGGCTGAGCCCCCAGCACACGCAGCCTCCCGAGCCCTAGGTGGTGACTCACCCAGAATCTCCTTCCTGCGGTCGGCATGCGGCTGGTCGGTGTATACCCACTCGAAGTCCTCCCGGGCTACCGTGTTCCCCATGCTGTCTATAATGTCAACACCGGAGTGAGCCCCCGCACAGTGCGCGCTCCCGCTATACCGAGCCGGAAACCACTAGCCGCCGACACGCCCACACTAAACAGGGGGGCCGGCACCGCCTCGTCACACCCGCAATGACTGGCTTGGAAGCGCCATGCCCTATGGCCCGCCCAATGATAATCAAAGCGACACGCCCCGTTGAGCCCCAGCCACACCTATACACCGCAATAGATAGAAGTAGGTTGGGCTTCGTTTATCATGCCTTGTCGTGATTGGTGAATCCTGAGCTGTCGTAAAACAATTAGCCAATCAACAGCCTAATAAGATGCACGTGAGGAGAAGCCGGATTTAGTACCGCCTCCTCAGTTAAAGATGATACGCCCCTTTTCGTATTAAAGGATGGCTGTAATTAAAAAAGGGCGTGTAGTAACGGGCTGGGGGTTTGTGAGGATGAAGCGGTAACGCCCACTATGTGACGTGTGGGGTGGGCCAATGAAAAGCCGGGTCTGTGATGGAAGAGGACCTGTCATGGTTCATTTCTGGATGAAGTTATATGTTCCATGTTACTTATGGAGACAATGCCCGACTTCCCAGACTTCTGGCCCTGCCCAGTAGTCACACTTATTAAAATTAGAGCAACTGTGGCTGGCAGCCAATCAGTTTCTAGACTCTAGACATTCAGTAAGGCCTTGTGCACATGGGCAGCCAATGGGGTGGTAGAAGCGGGCGGCTGAGCCGCAGTGGGTCGCTCCACTAACAAAGGATTTCCTGGACTATGCACATGCTCACGGGCGGACTGACCTTTTGGAAACTCAGGCACTGCCCGAGGGCCCGGGGTCAGTAGGGGGCCCCATGAGATGCCCCTTGTACCTTCTTCATAGGCTTTTTTGAGTTTGGGCAAGGTCACAGGGGCCCCATGATCCCCTATTGCCCAGGGCCCCATGAGTTGTCAGTCCGCCCCTGCACATGCTGCAGCAAAACATAAAGCTGAGCTCCACCCAAGAGGGGAAGTTTCACTTTAAAGCTTTGTCTCCCACTCCCCATTTAGGATTGGCACCTTTGGGGAGCGGGGGAGGAGGGTGTACCCGAATTTGACAGTTTCCCACTTCCACTGCAATTGCCTAGACCAGTGGTGGGCAACCTTTTTTTTCAACTAAGCCAAATCTCGCCAAAACCACGATTGAAATTTATTTTGAGAGCCACATTTTTGAAAAACTGAAAATACATAGGATGGTACACTGTTTTTAGTTTCAATAAGTTTTTATAGTAATTCATAGTAATTCATACCCCCATACAGTAATTCATCCCCCATATAGTAATTCATCCCCCATAGTAATTCATCCCCCATATAGTAATTCATCCCCCATAGTAATTCATCCCCCATATAGTAATTCATCCCCCATATAGTAATTCATCCCCCATATAGTAATTCATCCCCCATAGTAATTCCTCCCCCATATAGTAACTCATCCCCCATATTAATTCATCCCTCATATAGTAGTAAGTAAGTAGCAAGTAGTAAGCCAAGTCCCCCCTGTGTCAATTCACTTACCTTTGCTCCGCGCGTTCCTCTCGCCGTGTTCCCGCGCCGTTCCGGTCTTCAGGGCGGACTGTGAGAGGAGCCTAGCTCCTCTCACGTTCGTCACGCTCCCGCGCCCCGCCTCACACACATCCTGACAGCCAATCACTGGCTATCAGGATGTGAGTGGCAGCGAGACTGGCCAATCATTGCATTTGAGCGCGCTGCTGTTTTTTTTTTTGGATCACGCTGCAGAGTCCCTGCCGCCGCCCGAGAGGAGGGGAGGGGGAGCGCGCGCGCCTGGCACACAAGAGCCGCATTAAAGTGTGTAAAGAGCCGCATGTGGCTCGCGAGCCGCGGCTTGCCGACCACTGGCCTAGACGATCGGAAGCAGAAGTTGTCCTCCCTCCCCATAGTCTTCTGGGACATGTGACAGGTCCCAGAAGACTATGGAGCCATTCACAAAGCGCAGCTCTTCTCCTGCATGTGCAGTCGGCACTCGGCTGTGAAGCCGCAAGCTGTCACAGCCGGATGCCCTCACTAAAGATGGCAGCACCAGGGAGAGAAGACGGTGAGGACACCGCTGGACCGAGGGACAGGCGAGTGTCTGTATTATAAAAGTCAGCAGCTACAGTTTTTGTAGCTGCTGACTTTTATTTTTTTTTTCAGGTGGAGCTCCGCTTTAAACCTTTTGTCACGTTTGGTGGGAAGTACTGCTGCCAATCACAAACCATGTCCTGTAAGTGGATGGGACGGTGCGGCCGCTGCATGCTTGTGTTGTGGTGGTTCGACCTTTGTAGGGTAAAACAGGCAGTCAAGAAGTGACATATTGCCTCCCATCTGCCTTTGAACTGCCCTTTAAACAGCAATCAGTTGCAGATTGCCTTTCTAAGGCGTGGCATGGGCTGTTGCTGAGGTGAACGAGGTCTTACAGTAGAACTAAATCCATCAATTTACCTGTTTTCTTTCTAAAACAATTACATTCAAAACATGCTGTAAACTCTATCACAGTTGCTCGTGCTCTCAACCAAACTGTCAAGCCATCAAATGGATGGTGTCCTAGCTGGTCACATGGTCAGCACCATGGCAACTGCAGGTGAAACAGAGGCTAAGATGGCCGTTTCCTTGGCTGTAAAGTAGTTTCACTTTAAAGACACAGTTCACCTTTATCAGAAAAACATCCTATATAGGTAAGGGGTGTCTGTAGATAAAAAGAAACGGTTGCAGTTGTGATTAAGGTTGAATCATGCCCTTGCTATAGATGTAGGCCATTTACATACCTCCTAAAGCCTGGCTGAAAAACTCCCAGAGATGGCATCATCCCATCCTGCCTTGTTGCTAGGACGTTGCTAAGAATCTCCCAGCTGTTACTGTTCACCTCCACCATCACAGGAGCTGATGCAAACCCCCCACATGCTTTCTCCCCCTGATGCAGTATCCCTGAACTCAGTATTTGAGAGCTCACTCCTGTCATGGAGGAGGTGAACAGGAATGGCTGCGAGTATCTTATCAAGGTCCTAATGACAAGGCAGGACAGGATGACACCATCTCTGGGAGATTTTCAGTCAGGCTGTATGAGGTACATAAATGGCATACACCTATGGCAGGGGCAGCATTCAACTTTGGTCAAAGCTGCACAGTTTGCTTTTATCTACAGACGCCCCTTATCTGCACTGGTAAAGGTGAACTAACCCTTTAGCCACTTGCCTACCGGACACTTTCACCACTTTCCTGCCCAGGCCAATTTTCAGCTTTCTGCAGTGTCACACTTTGAATGACTATTGTGCAGTCATGCAACACTGCACCCATATGACATTTTAAAAACATTTTTGAGACATATAGAGTTTTCTTTTGGTGGTATTTCATCACCACTGGGGTTTTTTTTACTTATTGCTACAGAAACGAAAAAAAAGATCAAAAGTGTTGAAAAAAAAAATTTGTTTTTCTTAGTTTCTGTTATAAAATTTTGCAAAGAGGCAATTTTTCACCTTCAGTGATGAGCACTGATAGTCTGCACTGATGAAGATGTACTGATGAGGCTGCACTGATGAGCACTGATAGTCTGCCCTGATGAAGAGGTACTGATGCGGCTGCACTGATGAGCACTGGTAGTCTGCACTGATGAAGAGGTACTGATGAGGCTGCACTGATGAGCACTGGTAGTCTGCACTGATGAAGAGGTACTGATGAGACTGCACTGATGAGCACTGATAGTCTGTACTGATGGGCACTGGTGAAGAGGTACTGATGAGGCTGCACTGATGAAGAGGTACTGATGAGCACTGATAGTCTGTACTAATGGGCACTGATGAATAGGTACTGATGAGGCTGCATTGATGAGCACTGATAGTCTGCACTGATGGGCACTGATGAAGAGGTACTGATGAGGCTGCACTGACGAGCACTGATAGTCTGCACCGATAGGTGGCACTGATGGACACTGTTGGGGCTGCCTCTGATTTTTAAATACATTTGCCGATTACTGGCTCTTCTCTCTTCTCATGCTCTGACAGTGTAAGGAAAGTGTAGCCAATAACTGGCAATCGTATTTACATTGTGATCAGCTGTCTCATTGGACAGAGCTTATCACGTGGTAAAAGAGCGCTGTGATTGGCCCTTTACCATGTCAGTGATCACAAAAAAAAGTTGCTGCAATTTCTTAAAGTGTTAGTTCACCTTTAGTTGGCCTACCAATGGACCTCACTGTACTTACTTGCAGCGATTCTGAGCTGTCAGGGATCCTGCAGCTGCTTCACTGGTCCAGGGATTTGGAATCCTGTTGCTCTTTCTCTTTCTCCCTCCTATGCTCTCAGGACAGACCAGGTGGATTCTTATTGGTCACCACCAAACCATTGCTCTTTATCTTAAATTATAATGATATTAAAGGCCGACATTGAACTCACACCCCCCAGCCCCTGCTGTATTTTTTGCTTTTTTTGTTTTTAAATACCTAACCTTTTCAGATTTCTATAGGCTAGTCACATGACTTCAGGGGTCAGTTCTATGCCTCCCTGCACTCACAGTATTTCCTTGGCTTGACCCAGATTGAGGACAGCTATTGGTGAAAAGCAATTACTGCAGGGTACAGCACTAGAATTAAGGCGAGTAATAAAGTCACAAAAGGGGACTTAAAGAAAAAAAAAAAACTAGACTGTAGTTATGCTTTTATTAGTTATGATTTAAGTAACTGGGGCAGAGCAGGGGGTGTGGCCTTTGTCTACATACCTTGTACTAAAAAGGTGTCCGTATTAGCATTCTCAAGGGAGAAATGGGAGGTATGTACAAAGCTGGCACTGGGCAAAATCGTAAAAATGATTTCTGAAATTACATTAAAGCTGACCTCTGGACACAAAAACTTTCATCTGAAAATATTCCTCAGCAGCAACAAAAACCTTTGCAAACCCAGATATTTCCTTGTAAAAGTAGCAGGGCTATCATCACTGTGCTGTACATAGCCTGTGCAGAGAGCAGAGCTGTGGGAGGG